ATCCCCAGATTCCTGCCTCTGGGCATCTGAGCCTGAGTCCGGATGGGCATGGGGTCATGCTTTGCCTATCTGGCTCCAAGTGAGAGCTGAGGCCAGACATGACCCAATTCATGAAGCTTTTCCACAATCCATTGTATTTAAAGTTCTTTGAAAGGACAGGGCAATGCAATGTGTTCTGCTGCTCCAAATCTCCGTATACATTTTGGTGTAGTTTTTAATGTATAGTCGATTAACTGTGGGTGATTCCACTTGAGCCTCATTAAGATAAGACCCTGTCAAAGACTGTGTTAAGAATGTCATTGAGAGAATATAGCTTTTTCAAAATTTAAAATAAGTGCCAAAACAGGAAGTATCTTTTATCACAACCTTGTTTTTTTTTATTTGTATTATTGACATATCAAGGAATCATTGGGAATGTCATAAAAATGATGGACAGCTTTTAGTGGATCTTTAATTTGCTGTTTTCTCCAATCTTTCCTTCAAATCTACTATTTTACTGCATTAAATATATATTAATGTATATGGTCTCCCAGTACACAGTTTATAAATACAGGAATCTGTGGAAGTACCACTGGAATTGGTGAAGGCATGACCACTAGATCACTTTCATTGGTTTCAGGCCAGTTTGATCATCAGCTACAAGCGGCAGGCCCGATTGCTTATTTTGACCGTGTTCCATCATGAACTTAGCTGGGAATTCAAGTTTTCATGAGAAATTTAAGTCCATTTAGCAATGATTATAGTTTCAATGGCTTTTTAATTTTATGACTATTGAACAGGTATAGTTTGATCATTTGTATCACAACCATTTATTTAGACTAGAATTGCCAGTTATAAATGCAAGGTGCCATTGAATTGTGAAGTTCACATAAGTAAGAAACACTTTGTTAGTATTAAGTATGTCCCATTTGGAATGTGATTTTTTTTTCTGGGTTTTAAATTTACAGGGTGTCTTTTGTGATTATGTACTAAATCTGACAATCATTTTGTGAATCGATTGCCAATGTTCTTTTCAATTAGGAGCAGCAGATAGGGGATTTGCAGCCGCTTTTGTAGCTGCTGGCAAAACCACTTCTGTTGCATCAGGTACTGAAAGAGCATAATCAAAATAAATCTAGGCAATGGAAATGAGTTTTCTTTTTTTTAAATTTAATTTAATTTTTTCAGTGTTCCAAGATTTCATTGTTTATGTACCACATGCGCTGCTCCATGCAATACATGCCCTCCTTATTACCCACCACCAGGCTCACCCATCCCCTGACCCCCCTCCCTTCCAAAACCCTCAATTTGTTTCTCAGAGTCCACAGTCTCTCATGGTTCTTCTCCCCTTCTGATTTTCCCCAATTAACTTTTCCTTTCCTTCTCGTAATGTCCTCCATGTTATTCCTTATACTCCACAAGTGATTTCTTTACTTAACATTGTGACAGAGACAATGTGTCCTAAAGAATTTAATTATCATTATTTGTTTAATGTCAATACTGGAGATAAAAAATTAATCAATACCTCTCTGTTATGTAAATAATATCATACTGAGTGCTCTAGAAAACAGAATAGTCATGTATTTGTTCCCTTAGAATTTTATTTTTGAGCAAAAGTAATTAATATTTATATATATGCGAAGGCAAATACCATTATGGCAGAAAAGAATCAAAATCAAAGAAATGTTCCATGACAGGCTTGGAATGAGAACTCAGAAGGAAATTCTATTAGGGAACTGATTAGTCAGAGTTAAAAACAAGATAAAATTATTCTATCTTGAAAATAAAGTGTTAGTATGATCAGTACACTATGACTATATCTTTATACTTTAACTTGAGCAAAACCTCAAAACATGAGTGAGTTGAGTGGAATTTTAAGGATATATTCAATTTTATGGGATAAAGAACAGTCATATTTTAGCTGTTAAGGTCATAGAATTGAAAACAAAATCTTCTCTCAACCCAGATACCCAGGCCCAAAGACAGTAGAGAAAAAAAAAAAAAAACAGTTTTCAATGGAATAAGTATTAAACTTGCAAGTGATGCAAATTATGAGCTAAATCCACTTAGAGATTGTAAAGACAGGAATCTTACAAGCAGACCACCTTTACATACATTTTCTTAAGAAAAATAATTACTGGTTCTCAAATAAGAAAACTTTATTTTTTTTTAAAGATTTTATTTATTTATTTGACAGAGAGAGAGAGAGAGAGATCACAAGCAGGCAGAGAGGCAGGCAGAGAGAGAGGGGGAAGCAGGCTCCCCGCTGAGCAGAGAGCCTGATGCGGGCCCTGATCCCAGGACCCTGAGATCATGACCCGAGCTGAAGGCAGAGGCTTTAACCCACTGAGCCACCCAGGCACCCTCAAATAAGAAAACTTTAAAACACCATTTATTATACACAGTTTATCCTAAATTCACCTGTTAATTGGGGTGACGGTTAACTGGTTTTATGGGGTTTTATCCTCCTGATAAAGGAGGAAGGTTTGTCCCTAGAGGGAGATAAGAGTACTATCTCCCTTGATGTTTACATTCCCAAAAGATAGTTCCCAAGGCCTTGAGAAAGACCTTCCTGGGTCATTAAGCTGGAAAGAAGCCTATTCAGATTTTTGAAAGATATACATACATTTCAAAGAAAGAAAACATCTGAAATGACAAATTTTGCAAAGCAAATGGTCTAAGAAAAAGAAAGGGGCAGTGTCCCCTTATTTGTACCAGAAAGAATTAAGCCTCTTAATTAAAATTTTTGTTTTTGTAAGCCATCCTCCAAAGATGATCAAGTTCATACTTTAGCTAACTTATGTTTTTTTTTGTAAGATTAAGCCATGCCTAGAGTCTTGCCTGAAGCAACCTCTGGGACTGGAGGTGGCAGCACCCCTAGGGAAACAGGCACTAGAACCCCAAGTCCTGAGAAATCAGATAAGGTTTGTCCTCATTTTTTTGGCTGTGTCCCATCATACCACCCTCAGCAGGGTGTGATCTGTACTAACCTGATTTCTAATTTGCACTGATGATCTTAGAATTGGGTAGCATTTAAACTTAATGGGGAACCAGTTGGGAGGCAGGGGCGGGGCAGGAAAATGGTGGCTGCATACATTAGAATCTACACATACCTCCTTCTGCAAAACGTAATATCACTGGGCCCACACCTTGGGAGTTTAGAGGGACAGAGCAGGCTGAGACTCCAAAGATTGGGGAAGATGGCTCTGGGACTCAGAGTGGTTCTCTGAGATTCAGGTCAGGGCTTCCCAGAGGAGAGGGGAGTATAGAGAGTTACTTAATAGTGGTAGAACATAGCATCAACTAGGGTTTACCCCTTGAGGGAAAGGGCTCTACCCTGAACAAGACTGCTGAGAGAAGGTCTGAGACCCAGCAATTCAGAGCCCTTTTTCATGTGGAGTTGAAAGAGAGAAGATAGGAAAGTTCACAGAATGAGGTCAAGCAGCCCTGTGAAAGTACTGACTGTCTTGGAGGCAAGGGAGACACACCAGGAAGGTGGAAGAATCTTTGTAGCCTGGGTGTCATAAGAAAAAAAAAAAGAAAGAAAGAAAGAAGAAAGAAAGAAAGAAATCTTCAAAGCCAAGGGCCTTAAGAAAACAGGATAGTAAGTATGAGTTAGAAGACAGACAAAGAGATGCCTCTTAAAAAAAAGAAGCTTCCTTTCACCATGAACAACATAAAAGGAAGCCCTTGATCTGTGAAATCTGGTGAGCCACAATAAAGTCTCTTCATCCCCACTCCATAGGATCTCCTTCTATGTTCCAGGAAAATCCAATGCAAAAAACATGAAAAAGAAAAGTAAAATTCAAATGTCTATAGAAAGATTGTTCCAAAATTCCTGAGAGACTTAAGCTATCCCTAACCCCCTTCCAACGTGAAAGTATATAATTATATACATTTATATATATATATATACATATATATATATACATGTGTATATATACTGACATATATACATAGTTTATACTTATATGTATAGATATAACATATATATTTTTAGCAGTTCTCAGCAATAGCAAAATCTAGTCATGAAACAAAGGAAACAGAACATTAACAAGAATTTAAAATAAGAAACAAACTGCAGCAATAGACATCAGAATTATAAATTAAAAAACTAGTGTCAAAATAGATAAATAGTAGGAAGATATCAAATTGGAACTGATGAAATTTCAGGAGAAATATTAAAAAATAAAGAAAAAATATCTAAAAAATACAAACCAGTTTCAATCTACCCAGCAGAAAATATATGAGACTGAAAGCATGGCAGGGGCTGTAGAGGATAGAATTGAGAAGATCCAAAAAATATTGCAGACATTTAAAAAGTTTAAGTAGATCAGAGTTAGGCATCATTACAGGAAACAGATAAAAATATCCAACATATAGATTATTTCAGTTTCTGGAGAAGCAAAAGCAATGAAACAGAACTAACATTTAAAACTGTAAACCAGGACAAGTTTCCTACAATTAAAAGAGAAATCCTAAATTTCTATGTTGAAGGGACCTATGATATATACCTGGAAGCTTAAATCTTTAACAGTCATTTTGGTGAGTTAATTTAGAAAACTGTTAGACTTGAAAAGGAAACAGAAAAAGAAAAGGAAATCTGTTAGACTTGAAAGATACATTCTCTGGACCTTGAGGCAAAAAGAGAAAGTCATTCAAAAAGAAAGAAAATCAGGGATGCCTGGGTGGCTCAGTCATTAAGCGCCTGCCTTTGGCTCAGGTCATGATCCCAGGGTCCTGGAATTGAGCCCCACATTGTGCTCCCTGCTCAGCAGGAAGCCTGCGTCTCCCTCTCCCACTCCCCCTGCTTGTGTTCCCTCTCTTGCTGTCTCTCTCTCACTGTCAAATAAATAAATAAATAAATCTTAAAAAAAAAGAAAGAAAATCAGGTTGGTATCAGACTTGTCAAGACAGAGTAGCATTAAGAAACTCAAAGAAGGAAAATGTGGGCTAAGCGTTGTTAGTGCAGCTAAATGTAATTCAGGTATCAAGCTCTAGGCAAATAGTTGAAAACATGAAGGAATTCTGGGAATTATGTACCCATGAGCCCTTCATAATAAAATCACTAGAGGATGAATGTTAAACAACAAAGAGATGCCTTGAAAATGACTGAAATGATTATAGCACAATTTTTAACTCTAGCTCTAAAACTGGAACCAAAGTTAGAAAAGTGGAAAAGAACTTCATAAATATTTCATATTTGACCAACTAAAAATATCATAGTAATAAATAGATAAATGGGGAAGATGTTGGAAATAAAGGCAAGAGAAAAATTAAATTCCCTTACTACTTAACAGCCCATTGACAAGTCCTTGAAACAGGCAGAGCGCCATTCTTCTAGGAACTCAGCTGCCTGAGTGTTAGTAGTTTGTTAAATGCAAAGGCAATCTTAGCCCTACTCCCAGGATCCTGCAACTCTAGTTTAATGTATACAAATTCCTTTGGAAGCTTCCTTAATCTTTACCCCCGATAGTGTTGGCAATCATCTGCCAAGTATATGACCCACCGATATATATCAGAAGGGTCTCATTATTAGACAGTAATGAATGACTTTTTCCCAACAATAGCTACTACCCCCCTCAAGGTCCTTGAATCCTGTTCCCAAATTCCTTAGAGACTTAAGCTATCCTAACCCCCTCCCAACTTGAAAGTATGTAAGGGACCACTCTTTATGACCCCAGTGCAGCTCTTTCTACTCATGGGTCCGTCCCCATGCTTTAATAAAACCAACTTTTTGCACCAAAGACATCTCAAGAATTCTTTCTTGGCTGTTGACTCCAAACCCCAATATATATTCTACATCAGCAAAAAGAAGGAAGATGTAATAATCTTATTAATTAGATAGTAGTCAAACAAATTATTTAAAGCTCATGAACCAGACAAGAGTAGCTCAAATTTATTAAAGTGGTAAAAACAAATAATATCAAGAAAGAAAATGGCATTTAATTTGGAAAGTACAGAACAAGAGAAGGAGAAGGGAAGAAGAAATAATATTAGTAATTATTATTCTTTATTAAGGGAGAACCAGTAGATACTACCTGAAAAGAAAATTGGGAGGATGCTAAAGGGATTATATAAAAATGTTACTGTAAAATATAGCTTAT